TAGGGGAGAACTTCCCAACCCAACTCCATAATCTTGTGTTCCGTCAAATGTGCCACCAATGGATGTGCATTGTCATGGAGAAAAAGAACACCTTTCTGATTGACGAGTGAAGGGTGTTTCTGATGGAGGGCTTAATTTAAATGTTCTAGTTGCTGACTATAGATCTCTGCATTGAGAGTTCGCTGTGGATTGAGAAGTTTGAAATGAATTTCTCCTTTGATGTTCCATCAAATGCAAAGCATCACCTTCTGTGGATGGAGTCTAGGTTTTGGGGTTGGAAGTGGTTTTTGTCTAGGACTGAGCCATTGTTTCTGGGGTTTAATATTTGCATAGAGAATCCATTTTTCATCACCAGTGACAATTCTGTCCAAAAATGGTTCACGGGCATTACTCACCAGAAGAGACGAAGCAAATATTTCAGAGATATGTAAGAGTTTCATACTATTAGATCGTCAAGAAGTTAATGTCTTGTTTTGGAACATATTCATTACCCCCCCCCCACCCCAAAATGTACATCACTTATAATAGTTAAATGAACTGCCTAAACATCACATTAGTGTAGTCTATATAATATGTAAAGTTTGGTATACTCTAGTCCCTTATAGTTATGGCAAGTGATGTGACACACGTTCGGCATGTAATGCTCTTTGAATACAAGAAGGGAAACAATGCCTCTGTAGCCACAAAGAATATCAAAGAAGTTTATGGAAATGTTTTGAACGTTAGTAGGTGTCAATGATGGTTTTGGCAAATTTCTTTCAGGTGACTTAAAAACTGTGATGGCAGGGGCCGACATGTTGGAATTGATATTGATGCTTTGAAGATGCTTGTTGAGTCTAACCCAAGGTAACACACTCGTGTTTTCTCATGAAACAATATGTAAACATCTAAAGAATATGGGAAAACTCCATAAGGAAGGTGTTTGGGTGCCTCATGAACTCTCCAATGATCATCATTTCCAATGTGTGAATGGTTTTAATACAAATAAGATGAGTATGCAACTCTAACATACCTTTGAAATATGCTGTAATATCCAAAGCAATCTCATAACAACCTGGTAAAAAAAAAAAAAGAATATCATGTATATTATCATAATAAACATGCATGTTTTATACAACTTTCTTTCAAGAGTTCAAATAAATCACTAAGAATAAAGTAGTAATTGTACATTTGCCTGAGTAGAGTGAAATGATCAGTATATTTAAGTTAGAATTAAAATAGAAATGCTACATACAAGTGAAAATATCTTTCTTAAAAAAACTTCATTTACTCCTATTACTTATTCCATTAGGGAATATTTCATTCAGCTGGAAGATGAAGAAAGGTTCAAGATTTTCACACTTGATCTTTCCAAGTTTTGCGAGACACTCAAGTGTGAATGAAACTGAAATGTGCAGAGCTGAGGTAGTTTGCAGTGCTTCAACATAACAAGTTCAGGAATATTCAAGGCCATCATATAATCTAAATATTGCCTTGTATATAAATATTTAGAAACATTTATAGCGTTGAATGAAATGAATAATGCAGTCTAACATAAATATACTGCCTTTTTATTAAGATTGTGTAAGTGCTACTAAATAAACATCAGTAATCTATGGAAATGGTAAAAAGATGTTCTGTCCACTTGGTTTGATTTGCATCATCAGATTTAATGTTGTCTTCTTGCAGTTTGAAATGTACTAAATGATTTGAGGTATAGCTCCAAGAAATAAACAAGTGTAAGTAATACTGAATGTCTGCATCAAACATCTAAATTAAATAATTGATCTTAGATGGCTTATAAATTAATATTTACAAATGTAAAAAAGGGCCATACAATTGCTTTTAATTTATGAGCAGAGAAAACATACATCATAATTTAAATATATTACCAATAAATTTCAGTTAATTTTACTCAACAGTTTCATTTTTCATTCACAGTAAATCTTGCTGCATTTAGAATGATGTACTTGCAAAAACTGCACAAGATATAAAAATGTGATCTCACTAGTGAATTTTGCTTCTGAGGAAATGAAAAAACTTAAGAACCTCAAAACAGTACCCAGACCTATTATATGCTCAATGTAGACCTTATCGCTTGCAATTTTATCATCTTTTTGTGTACAGTTTTACTACACTTTTTTTTTTAAAGAAGAAAAACAAGAAGAGATGGAATGTTTATTGTTACATTTGCATGCACAAACACATCCTACCCATTAAAGCTCTTATCCACCATTACAGTGTTACTAGGGTCACACCTTTCTGTCATTTTCCAATTCCACAACCCATCAATAATTGTACCATCATATACTGATGTCAAATAGGAAACCAAGCCTCTGGGTGTTATGCCAGCTAACAGCTTCACTATGTTGGCATTCTTGTAGTTTGATCAGGTTGATTGTTGCCATATAGGAGCTTGTGACTTTAATTAGTATTTTTGTACCATAAAAATAAAAATTTAATCTATCTGCCTCATTTGACTGATTTGTACAGGAATACTGAGAAGATACTGGATCTTTTCTCAGTCTCTGAACCAAAAGTTTATCAACTTTAAAAATACAATCATTTTTATTCTTTCAAAGCAACAATCATGCTATCAGTTAATTAAATTATTTTACTTAGGGTTATTTTTGAAAAATTATTTCTGAAAACCAATAAACCTTCTTCGACAATACGTACCTATGTTATTATATACCTTCAGTGATATCATAAGTAACCCTACCAGCAAGTGATTTGTAATCATGGAAATGTTCACTTAAGAATGCAATGTTTCACTTAGCTACACATCCAAGTAAAGTGCCATGTTATTTGGTGAATTAGATTAATGAAATATTTTACAAGCAACTTTAAAATAGCATTTTTAAATTGAAATAACAAGTTAAGAAGTAAATCACTTTTATTTTCCCACTTTTTGCCACAATAAAATTTTATTTCAGTATTCAAAGCAGTAGTTGAAGTGATTAGAAGATTAGAACCAATAAAAATAAAGTATTCAGGTAGTCTAACTGACATAATGGGTAGAAATGAATAAAAACCCTATAATCCGAGTGCTTTTAAAAGATGGACCTTTTGAAAGTACTTGAGTTATAGGGTTTTTATTCATTTCTATCAAGACTTCTTGAACCTACATGTTTTTCTAACATCATGACATAATGGGTATTTAGTGAAACAAGTTCTATTTACAATTATATCTGTTAAAAGTTAAAATGCCAAAGTTAAGCATGTTAAATATCATAGTTCAAGAGAGTTTTATGTTCGACATATGAAATTGAAAGCTACCAAATTAGAAATAACATTCAGATTGAGTAAATAAAGTTATCGATTTATCCTTTTATAGTAATTATGTATGAATACATATTTTCATTGGGTGGGAAAATGCTGTTAACCTGTGACAAAAGTCAAAACACAGAGTTACAGCCTAATCAGGAGGAAAAAAAGATAACATCTGCTACTAAGAACATTAAGTATACAAGATTTGGAATATTTTTAATTTAAATCTAATTATTAAATATTAACTTTTTTCTTTCTATAATTAGATTTTAACTACTAACTAGCTTTATCCTTTGTTTAGAATGCTAATCTGCTGCTTTCTTCAAGAAAGAAATTATACATCTAGTCATAAAAAAATACTAACTAATAATTAGACTTAGGTGAGTATATAGAATACTACCTATGACAACAAAGTATAATAAATTTATAATTGAAACTTAATTTTGCCAATGAAAAAAGTATTTATTATATTTTAAAACTAAAAACATTTATTGTCATACAAATTTAAACTGATGACCACGGTAGCAAGATCCTATAATGAAGTGGTCTTACAATTGGTAGTTTCTATCAATACAGGGAAAGTTTAACAGCTGCTAATATTGCAATTACTGGTATATCTAATAACTGTATTCTTACATACGTGTATAATATTGTTAATCACTTCTATTAATAAAATTTGCAAAACTATGAAAAGACATCTTACCATTCCTGACCGAAAATGTAATTTACTCGCTGCCAAAAAGCGTTTTCTTCTGGTGATAAAGTGCAAAAACTTAGCCCCTCTTCTTAAAAACTATGCAAAGAAAAAAAGCAAGTACATTACTAACATTAAAACTGAAATATAATCTTATTATTAATACAAAAAAAAGGGATACAATTAAATAATCACACAGACATTTCTTGATTATAAGTATGTGTGTGTGACTTACAATCCAAGAAATGAAGATAATTCACTCATGAAGTTTAAAAACTAAACATTAGCCTTACAAAAAAAAAATATAAAAAAAATACATACATGCATACTTGAAAACTTAAATATTTATAGATTATTCAAAGTTCGAAAATATATTTAGTATACTTCATAAGTTGGAAAAAATTATTGAAACCAACTTAAAAACTAACTGGGCATCCACATTGTAACAATGGGTTCTTTGTGATTTTTGTTAGAAAAAAAATTCCTATACATGATATAAAACTATCTTAATGATATAAAACTAATCATGGATAAGACATTTTATAGTACCTGAAATTCTAATCAACAAATTCATGTGTATCTAACAAGCTCTTTTCCATGCACATGAAGCATTCATTCTCAGGATCTTTCTAGTTTTATGTTCAATATCAATTTCTAACTAAATGCATAACAACACCATCACTGACAGATTCTTCATATGCAACTCCTACTTTTGGAGATTTTCAGTAACCTTGAATAATTACATTTCTAATTTTAAAAGTACACTCATTTCATTTATTCCTGCATTTTGTCACATACATTTTTTTCAGTAAAAATCCACACCCATATATATAAAACCAATCTTAAATGCAAGATTGGTCAATTGTTGAGATTTATTTAACTATACTACGATTTATATTACCTTCATCTTCAAAGAGTTGTTCCACATTTTACATAAACTTTCTGATCTAATATCCTTCCATGTGATGAAATTATGAAATGGCCGTCCCGACTCTCTAAAATTGATAAGATAGCATTTTTACTAGCCATTAGTTACAACTTTCTGGCACTCTTCTAATAGTCAAAGGTTATTTCCTTCTGCTAATTCTTAACATACTATGATTTTTGCAAACTGCTCATGAAATATGTTGAGGTTTTAAATAATAACTACTTGAAATGCCATTTTGTTATTGGAAAAGCTACAAAAAACATGTATATAATTTTTGAAGTTTTAAACATACTGAGTTAATAAATTTGCGTACATAAACATTGTAAATAATTAAAACTAATATGCATTTAACATGCTTGTATATGCACCATATAATCAAATGTGTTTACCATCCAACAAAGTTCATATCACCAAATTACAAAGTACACTAATTTTTTTGTTAGTTGCATTCCCAATGTAGGCTTACTGCCTAAAATTTCGAATTTACTGACATTCCCAAAATTATTAAAATTACAAGTTCTTTTTTTTTTATTAATACTTGCTCTAGCTGTTTTCAACCTAGGAAGTTGAAAAATGAGAACAAAATAAATCGAAAAATTTAAACTGGCTATAATATCAATTAAGGTTTACATTACAATGGTGGTTTGAGTTTAAAATCCAATATTTTACCAAGTCTTGAGAGCTAGTGTATAATTGATCATAAAATATTTGACCTTTAGTTAAATAAAAATGAAGGGTTGGGCCAACTATATAAATGTAATATAGAACCAAGTTATACTAATGATGTCCACAAAATGTATAAAGATTGTTTATTAATGTCAATATTTAAAGGAAACATCTTACATATTTGGTCATAATTACGTTTTTTAAGTTGAGTTGAAAAACTATTTTGTCATTGGGCTTACACATAGGTAAGTGCAAGATGCACTAGTAATGTCAATAGAATTATCTTGCAAAGCAAAGGATAATTTTTACATTATGCACATACATACACACTTGAAGTCTACATTATGTAATAAAATATGCTTCCTAGTCGAACTTATTAAATGAAACAAACTGGTGCACATTTAGTAGTTCTTTTCAATGATCATTTCATATAACACAAACTAAGGCCTTGTGAATTGTACATAATTTGCTTTTTTTTTTTCTTTTTTCTTTCTGTAAACTGTTAATATTGTTGCATCAGCGAGGTCACGTGACTAGTGTCACGCCACCCGTTTTCTAGAACTATCCTGTTCCTTCGGGAGTGCTCTAGTATTTGCTAGATTGGGGGTGGTCTGGTATATATAAGATGGTCACAGCGTGACGTGATAATGTGTGAAGGTAGTGAGTAATTGAACTGCAGTCAGAAAGTATTGTTGAAGTTAACGTTCGTCGTTATAGCGTTTGTTATAGCACGAATGTTGAAAATAAGTGTATCGTAAAGTTGTATTCGGAAAGAATAAACCAGTTTTATTAAGTAAGGACTTGTGTCGCTAAAGTTTCGTCGAAACGAAGTTACGGAAAATTAATTAACAAATGGAGACGTAACAATATGTTCTACACCATTTGGTTACTTGTAATCTCATCATACACCTCTGGTTGAAAAACTATGAAACAAGAATAAAAGTAAATGTAAAGGATGTTATAATAAACAATTTTCTGAAATGCATGTAACAACTGGTTCTCAGATTTCATGACATCATTTATCATGTTTTTCAAATGCATCTTCTCAATTTTCTGTGTAAACGTTTTTTTTTTGTGTTTTTTTTTAAAAGGCATAAAATTCAAATTATTACTATTTATTTTAACACATGCATTAATTTTATATTAAACTAGGTTTAGTTTCTAAAAGAATAAAGAGAAAAGTAAAAGCAAACACGGAAATCTTTCATTAATACTTTTTGACATTAAATAACATTAATTCTTTACCTGTCCCAATTTGTAAATGTTCCCCTATGTGTGCTTATTCCAATACAAGCAATCTGATCAGGTTTTACTCCAGCACCTAACAAAAGAAAAAAACTAAACAATTTTTTTATGAAAATATTCAATCACTGCATTTTTAGAAATAGCAGCTTTCTCACTCATAACAATGATTAAAAATCAAGTATGCAAAATAAAAACAGATTCTTCGAAAATAGAAATAAAATGCTTATTTCTGTAAACATGAAAGTTGCTCTTTTGCACATAATATAAATTTCAGAAGAATATCACAAAAAAACCAATTAAAATTTTGTAGCTAAATGTAAAAAAAAAAAAAAAAAAAACTAGTTTTTAACACAAATTTGTTCTAACCAATTAAAAACTAAAACAAATAGAAGCATCATATTGTTTTGATAAACATGTTACTATACTCCATAAATTCATTATTGATGTTTTAGCAAAATTTGTAATTTTGCTATCATTAACTATGAAATAAAATTAACCTTACCAGTATGTTTACAATTGAAAGTTTCACTTATGGTAATTATATTTTATTCCTATATTGCATATGCAATTCAATATAAGCATGCTTGATCAGCTCTCAACTAAGAAATTTTGCATAGGTTAAAAAAAAATTACACTTGTGCTATAAGATAATTTTAACATACTTTGTATCCCGTCTTTCATAACTTCAATAAAAGTTTTCCACAAAACACCTGGCTCAAGTTCAACCCACCCATGGTATGGAAACTGCAGCTTCATCTATGGGTGAAAGCAAGATTTATTTTTTCTTTACAAACTTTATATTTCAAATAACTTGCCACTGACTATTAATCAGATGATTTTTTTCAAGTCACATACTTTTGCATCACAGTTTCAATGTTTCATAAAAAACTTAACATATCAAAACATTTACAATCAATAACTGATGGAAGTATCCTGCTTCATTTGTATGCCAGTGTAGTGACTGCCAACTTACGTGTTTTACTTAACTATGGATCTTAACCATTAACTATAAAAATTTTAAAAAGGTAACAAAAGAAAGCTGTAAGTTACTACAAACAAATTAAACCATTCTGGTATAAAATAAACATTTATTTATTCAGTTTAGTTATCTCAACCTGACATTAATACACCAAGAAAGAAAAAAAATCCAAGATATGTTTAAGCCCACAGCAAAAAAAAGAACATGCCAGCTAAGCCAATTATTATTCCAATTCTTAAAAATGAAAAGAAAAATTCAGTTTTTAGTCTACAGTTAATTTTTTTTATTATTTGTGTGCATGCGTGCATCAGTATTCACTAAATCTAGACAAATTCAAAGTTGAATCACATGTAAACAGATTAAAGATTTCCTATACTTAGAAAAAATGGTGTACTTTCTCAATAGTTACAATATATATGAGCTATGCACTTAATAACATTTCACATTTTAGTAATACTAACAAAGAGTGCTAAAACAGTATGATAACATACATGTGCCATTTTCTTAAAGTTACAATATCTTTATACTACAAATACATAATAAGCAAACATGTCTGATTGTTAGTTCCTCATTTAAAATATTACAAGATAACCTAACTGATTCTTTACTCAAAAATTTACAACTAGTAAAATAAAATTATAAAATATAAAAAATAATATCAATCTCTCAGCTAGATAGCTTTTGCCATCAAATGTGAATTTTAAGCAAAAATAAAAAAATAATAATGCATGCAGTTTATTTTTAAGACAGACTTAAATTTGATTTTAAGATGACAAATCAGTATCTAAGGTAAACCTTTTTTTTTTTTTCTTATTCTTATACATGTATAAATACACACAAAGATGTACCTACTACGCCATGTCCTTCCCCTCTGATATTAGCATATTTATCATAGATGTGACAACGAACATTCATTGTGCCAACATCCATAGCAAGAACAAATTTTTCAGGGTCAAACATATCATCACTCATCTTAGTATTGGTTACCAGAGGACACTAAACATGTCCCTTAAAAACTAAGGATCTGAAAAATACACGAAAAAAAGGCAAAATCATTCATAGCAGAATACTAATCAAATATTTAATAAACTATATTGAAAAATATTACTACCAGCTTTGTAAACTTGGACCAAGAACTGTTGATCATGATACTACTATATGCTTGAAATGTACCGAAATACAGTTACAATTATGCTTTCCACTACAATGTTTATTCTAAACAATTGTTAAATATGACAGAGAAGCTTGCGAATAGCAAAAGTTAAAGTAAAAGCTATACGAATAAAAATTAAGTAAATTATGCACAGTTTCCAGTTCCATTCACTACTAAACAAGCACTACAAAAATATATTAACAGCAAGTTGTAAAGACCAAATTGGTTATCAAACTGCCATACCAATAGCACAATAATTTTCAATGAAATGTGGGTCTATTCTGTACAAGTTATAACATAACACCAGTAAGGCGTACCATTGAATCACTTTCTTTCGTACCATTTTTAATTTTTTAATTTCATACTTAAGGTTCACTTCATTAACTAAAAGCTTTAAACTTAATACACATTTTCTATTTCAGCAGGTATAATACTTTCCTATTATAGTCTGTAAAGATTTTTTTTACCTATTTTCATTAACTTCTTGTATAAATCCGTATTAAGTGTTCTTATATAAAACAAGTTTTCTACGTTGACATGATAATCATAAACTTTAAAGTAGCTACTTAAGTATTAATAAATCTATTAAAACTCATTTTTTCCTACGTAAGAAACAGGTTATTTCTTTTCTTTTATATTTGTTGAAACTTAATGAAAATATTTAACCTTTCTTTTTTATATATATTATAAACAAGGTTATAAATTTTAACTTACTCTATTTTCAATGAACACGATATCTCGACACTCGTCAAATCTCTCAGTGACTCGTATCACAACCAGCACCGGGCAGAAAGCACGTGTCAGAGAACAATACTTTCAATGTCATATGATCATGCAACCTTCTGTTCGAAATACTGACGCATCGTAATATAGTGGGCTAGACATCTTCAATATTTTAATTTGAATCTTAGCTAGAGGGCGCATGACGTTAAGCTCAGGTAAGTTTGTGGGAGTAGATCTAAAAAGTGCTACATGATGTTACCATAATCAGGTAACTTTCCGAAGCAATTAGTGACAAAGCTACGATATAAATGGACAATGAGCGAGTAGTGAATGAGTGTAAAGTGTCAAGCAGTCAGATTTAGTTCAATGAACTACTTAGTATTAGGGAAGTATTTGGATCAGTGTTATTATTGCGCATATTCACTTAGTTGTTCAATCAGCCATGAAATTGTACAAAAAAGTTAATTTTTACGCTAGTCGTAGTACAATTACATGCACTGCATACCTGTTTGAATGTCATTTGTACACTTGAGTCTGCAAAGAACAAGTTAGAACAGAGTACAAGTGAAGGTAGCTTGTAACTTGTGGAAACGTTAAGAAAGAAAGAAACGAATTTATTATTGTTAGGTTTGTTTGTTTGTTTTGAATTTCGCGCAAAGCTACACGAGGGCTATCTGCGCTAGCCGTCCCTGATTTAGCAGTGTAAGACTAGAGGGAAGGCAGCTAGTCATCACCACCCATCGCCAACTCTTGTGCTACTCTTTTACCAACGAATAGTGGGATTGACCGTCACATTATAACGCCCCCACAGCTGAATGGGCGAGCGTGTTTGGTGGGACGGGGATTCGAACCCGCGACCCTCAGATTGCGAGTCGAGTGCCCTAACCACCTGGCCATGCGGGCCGTATTGTTAGGTGGACTAGTATTTGAATCATTTTCACCATAACAACAGCATTACAACAAATGTGTCAGGAATGGAATCATTTTGGCGAAAATAAAGTAGAACTTTGGATATACTTCATAATACTTGAGTTGAACTTCAATTGTGAAGATCACGAAGTCACGAATTGATCACTTACTTGAGATGAGGGGAAAAAAATCGAAAGAAGGCCTAAAATAATACCAGGAAGAATGAAACAGAAAATCAAAACAAGTGTAGAAAGAAGAGAACAATCGTTGTGGGCTCTATTTTCAATGTTTTGTTGGATAGTCAACATGGTTTCACTAAGGGAAAATCTTGCCTTACAAATATTTTAACATTCTTTGAGAAGGTTACTGCTTATGTAGATGAGGGTAAGGGTGCAGATTTGGTGTATCTGGATTTTCAGAAAGCATTTGATAAGATGCCACATAAAAGGCTTGTAAAAAAAATTAGCTCTATAGGTGTGGGGGATAAGTTAGCATATTGGATAGAAGATTCGCTGGATGGAAGAAAGCAGAAGGTTGTTACAAATGGAGCTCAGTCAAACTGGATTAATGTCACAAGTGGAGTATCTCAGGACTCAGTCTTAGAACTTTTGCTCTTTTTGATTTACATCAATGGCATAGATGAAGGAATAGTTAATAAATTACTTAAATTTGCAGATGATATTAAGGTCTTGGGTGTTGCTAGCTGTGAAGAGGATGCTGCTGGTTTACAAAAGGATTTAGATAATTTAGTAAGTTGGGCAAATAAATGGCAGATGGGTTTTAATTGTAATAAATGCAAGATGATGCATGTGGGTTATCATAATTTGGATGGGAATAACCTTAACAGTGTTATGAAGGAAAGAGATCTTGGTGTAATAGTCAATCAGTCTCTAAAGCCATTCAAGCAGTGTGCTGTTGCTAGTGGTAGGGCAAAAAGGGTTTTAGGTTGTATCCATAGAAATATTGAATGCAAGTCTTAAAAAGGTTATACTTTCATTATACAGGTCACTGGTTAGGCCACATTTGGAATATTGTGTTCATTCTTGAGCTCATTACCTTAGGAAGGACATTGAATTGTTGGAAAGGGTTCAGAGAAGGGTCACTAGAATGGTGCCTGGGATGGAGGGGTTGTCATACGATGAGAGGCTGAAATCTCAAAAATTGTTTTCTATTGAAAAAAGAAGAGTTAGGGGGATCTGATTGAGGTGTTTAAGACTGTAAAGGGAATTCATGGTGTTGATATATCATCTTTTTTTATATTAAACAATGAGAATAGTAGGACTAGGGGACACAAGTATATATTTTTGCAAGGTAGGAGTCATCTTCAGCTAAGACTGTTTTATTTTTCTAACAGGATGGTTAGCCTTTGGAATGGGTTGCCTTCTGATGTTGTAGAGGCAGTAAATTTAAGTGAGTTTAAGAAAAAGCTTGACAAGTATACGAATGAAAAGGGCTGGGTTTAAAATATTTTTATTTTATTTTTTTAAATCATTTTAATTTGGTTTTGAGGATGGAATGGCCAAGATGGACCAATAGGTCCCATGTTGTCCCAAAATATCATGTTATGTTATTTAGAATACATCAGCTATATTCCTTTAGGATTTAATTCATTGTTTTTAATGAAATATAAATGAATAGCTGCTGAAAGCTGGAGGTGCACAAAAGGAAATATTAGAATTATAGTAATGGTTTAATTTCTGTTGTTGGGGGTTCATTTGAATTATTCAGTAAAAAGGAAAATGCAAAGTCCAATCCATTTAATGAAAGTGTTTTTATTACTTTAACTTCAACTTCAACAAATCAACTCTATTAAAATGTTCACTAATAAACCTGAGTTTACATTAAAACTAAAACAATTACTTACTAACTTCTCTCATACATAAGACACTTTCCCATATCTCTAGTACTTTGTTGAAACACAAGCTCAATATTCATAGAACTGAATTAACACACAACTGACATATGAACAAATTTGTCAACTTAATAAGTAATCCAATCTACTGTTAAAAAGATTCAATCACTAATTAACCAAATTCTACTCCAATATAACTCAAGTTTTATACCATTCAAATAATTTCTCAAGTTTTCCAGAAAGTTCTATAGTCATTAAACTATGCTTATCACATGCTGTGAAAACTTCCTCTGGCAAAACAATATTACCAATGTCTACATTAAAAAACTGCCTACAGCAGAATGACTTAATTTTGATTTAAAGAACATGATGTAAATAGTACAATTTTTTGAATGATTAAATTTAACTAAACAAAAGTCAGGATTTAGGTTTTATGGAATTAGATAAATACTAAAGTTAAAATGATTATGTCAGAATACTGAGTTTTGGAAATTACAGGAAATGTTGATAAGTTTGAGAAAAAATTGTCTAAATGTAGACTCATTCTTTCAGTGTCTTAGAATACTGGGAAAATTGTATATGCTAATTATTTTATAAAGTCTTATTCTATAATTTCATGAAAACTTTTATTGAACTTCTTCCTTATTTAGATGATAAGGTTTTAGATATTTACAAGATTGTCACTCAGTGAGCCAAAGGCCTTCATGTTCATTCTTATGCTTACTCATAATATGAAAACATTAGTAAATTAAATATGATACCACTGTCTTTCAGTAATCGCTGAGTGTCATCAAGTTCTTGACAACTTTGAGTCAGTCGATTCTGAAGCTGATGTAACCTGCTCATTTGTTGCGCTACATTTTCATGGCGGTTCTGTTGGATCTGTAGTCGAGTTTCTTGTTCCTTGAATTTGTTTTCTAATTCCAGTTTATTCATCTGAGAATGGTATAAAATCTTTGTTATACTATAATAATATTTTCTACTCAACAGAATTATTTTGTTACCATAATTTCACAACAACATTAAAAAACATAATTTTACTTAAAAATTCTCTTTTCATTCTGAAAATGAGGATTGTGGGATATTAACTCTTAGCAGTCCAGAAACCAAAGTGAAATGGTGCTACAACACTTCTAGAATTATATAAAAATAAACAATGTTGTAATTTACTCATGTATGTAGAGCAAATTTAAATTTTTCTCTTAAGTTACTTTGTTGTACTTATATCATATTAACCTAGCAACAGTAAAAACATCAAGTAAAAGAAAATACAGGTATATAAAACAAACGAAAAAAATTTCTACACACTATTATAAAAAATTATTTCAAATGTGTTTTTTAGGCTAACTTCAAATTATGATGGAATGTTTGATATGAACAATGCCCGCTCAACACATTTTTAGCACAAAAAAATTACATGTTATAATTATAACAAGTGTTTAACCATTAACTATGAATTTTAAGGCTGTAGAAAAAAGCTAATTCTCCTGAAAGAAGGTTGATAATTGACTCTATCAATCTTAGAAGTAATGAAACCTCTGAACAAAAGAGTTGGTGGGTGATAACTTTACGGGTTACAAAAGTTACCCAAAACGTTAATGTTTACTGACTATTTTGTCCATTGAATTCAGTTCTGTTGTAGTCAATACCAATCTTCTCTAATCATGAAAACACTAAATCATCTGTGAAAACTAATTCTACTTCTAGTTATTTTTAATTAATTAATGCCTATTTTTATATTATGTATACCATTACACAATAAACAGCAACAAAACATACAGGTATAAAAGAATATTAATCTTATGAACTCATTTTATTAAGTTTTTTATGAAAAACATACATATTAAAGCAAAAAGAAAGGAAATATATTAACAAATTAGACAGGATGTCAGCAAATGAGGATCCAAATCAAAACTTAAGTTGTTGCACCTGGATATGCAACAAAATCATTAGCATAACTACAAAAGATGCCCCCCCCCCACATAAAAGTAATTGGGACCCCTATATTTATTCCCCTTGTCAGCAATTCTTTAAGTTTCTCAGGCCCTTTGTCCCCCCTCCCCACACAATTCTGGGGGCTGCAGGGGCATACATATACCAATGAACAAAATATGAACTTACTAAAACTTCATTCAGATATAGCTTGATTCATAAAGTTCTTAATTTACATTTTATTTTACTTTTCTACATACCTGGTAATAAACTTCAGTATCCACTGCCAAAACCAGTACTTATGAAGTGTATTGGCTACCTAGCATTACTGTAAGACTGTCTTTATGCAAAGAAACCCAGCCCAAGCTGTAACATTTC